CGGCATTCTGCTCTTAATCTGTGTATTTATCTAGTGGTTTATGTTGATGATATTGTTATTACTAGCAATGATCAAGATGGTATTACTAATCTGAAGCAACATCTCTTTCAGCACTTCCAGACTAAGGATCTGGGCAGATTGAAGTATTTTCTAGGTATAGAGGTCGCCCAGTCTAGCTCAGGTATTGTTATTTCACAGCGGAAGTATGTCTTAGACATTCTTGAGGAGACTGGAATGATGGGTTGCAGACCTATTGACTCTCCTATGGATCCGAATGCTAAGCTTCTGCCTGGACAGGGGGAGCCTCTTAGAGACCCTACGAGATATAGGAGGTTGGTTGGCAAATTGAATTACCTCACAGTGACTAGACCTGACATCTCTTTTCCGTTGAGTGTTGTAAGTCAGTTTATGGATTTTCCCTGTGATAGTCACTGGGATGCAGTTGTTCGCATTCTTCGGTATATAAAGTCAACTCCAGGCGAAGGATTACTATTCGAGGATCAAGGCTACGAGCAGATTGTTGGGTACACAGATGCTGATTGGGCAGGATCACCTTTTTGATAGACGTTCTACGTCTGGATATTGTGTTCTAGTAGGAGGTAACTTGGTATTGTGGAAGAGCAAGAAACAGAATGTAGTTGCTCGATCTAGCGCCGAAGCCGAATATCGGGCCATGGCTATGGCGACGTGTGAGTTAGTTTGGGTCAAGCAGTTGCTCAAGGAGTTAAAGTTCGGAGAAATCAGCAAGATGGAACTAGTGTGTAATAACCAAGCTGCTCTTCATATTGCGCCAAATCCGGTGTTCCATGAGAGGACTAAACACATTGAGATCGACTGTCACTTTGTCAGAGAAAAAATACTTTCAGGAGATATTGTTACAGAGTTTGTAAAGTCGAATGATCAACTAGCAGATATTTTCACTAAGTCTCTTACTGGTTCTCGTATTAGCTATATGTGTAACAAGCTCGGTACATATGATGTGTATGCACCGGCTTGAGGGGGAGTGTTAGTTTACAGATATGTATAGTGTAGTCTTGTCCCACATTGGAAGAGGAGTAATATTTCCTTGTAGTGTATAGCTATAAATATGAACCTCTTGTATTGTATTTATCATCTAATATCAATAACATATTTTCTCCCGTACCTTCTCACAACATCAATGCGCACTCTCCACAAGTCAAAACAAAGAAAGTTGAGGACTTCCACAGTTTTTTCATTGCTGAGATCTATTATAGCTTTATGCATGTCCTTGACAATTTAAAGCAGGCGCAAATTCTCTCAAGTTGCCGCATATCATATTATCTATCTATTATAATAGTTGACAAATACTCTTTCCCGTTATGGATAGCAAAGTATGGCCGATCATTGTGGGTATAGGGATAGATCCCTGGCAGCAATTTATTTTTTTCATGATTACGATCAAAGGAGCTTTCTTTCCTTAAACCGTTGCCCCAAAATCTTAACAAAATTTAACTATCACAGAAACCTGGCTCATAGGATAACTGAATCTTTTTGCACTTTGAGCTTACCATTATTCAGATGTCGTCGAACTGGACGGGAACAAGATTCTACAGATTCTGCACCATTTCCTGACAAAGTACCGGCTCCCTCCACATCCATTCAATCAAAATAATTCAGGAGCCCTCAAACAATAATACAAACGCCAGTAGAATCTCTACTCAAGAATCTGCAGCTGGAGCAAAAAATCTATACATAGTAAATTTTACATTTCAATACCCATTCAATCTAAAGTCGAAGCGCCATTTGGCTGCTGAGAAAATCCATAAAAAAGGGCAGCTCGGTGCACTAAGCTCCCGCTATGCGCGGAGTCCGAGGAAGGGCCGGACCACAAAGGTCTATTGTACGCAGCCTTACCCTGCATTTCTGCAAGAGGCTGAGAAAATCCATAAGAATTGAAATAACATACTCCCTCTGGCCCGTTATGCGGCCACTTTCCCTTTTAGTCTGTTTTTTATTTTGAAACAATTTAACTTTAAAATTTTCATTTTACGCTCAACGAGGTGATTTATTGGCACACAAATGCCAATAGCTTGTTTTAAATCACAAGTTTCAAAACTCTTTTCTTAAACTCCGTGCTCAGTCAAATAATGTCACATAAATGCGACAAAGTGAGTAGTAAAATTGAGCTCCAGCATCAAGAAAATTTAAGCACACTATTGGTGTGTTTGGTATGAAGAAAAACAATATTCCCATGTTTGATTTGTCAAAATATTTTGAAAAATATTTGCTCAAGGAAAACAAGTACCTTAAATCAGGAAAATGACTTTCCTGGTGAGAGTAGGAAAAACAAGTTCTATAAGTTGCATTCCAGGCTGATTGTCTCCTCTCCACCCCCAACACCCTCCACCCCCACNTATAAATATTCTTGTAATAATATTTTCTGCTCACTTACCAAACACCATAAAATAAGTAGGAAAATCACTTATTTTCAAGGAAACATTTTCCCTGAAAAAATCATTTTCCTTTCATACCAAACACACACTAAAGAGTGGAACAAGTCGATTTTATCGAACCCATCTGCTATAATAACAATAATAAAGTGCGATCAAGCTCTTCAAACTGGGACTTCTTAATTTACCAAAACATTTAATTTCAAAAGATCATACATATGAAATTGAGCTACAAAATCGAAATTCTAGTTCAATTAAGGTCGCTCTAAAATATAGCGGAAAAAACTAAGTAGTGCAATTCAAAGATAATGTTAAAATCCATACCTGGGAAACAAATAATTGGAAAATTGAACTTAGTACAATGGTTGATATAACTGCGATTCCGAATTTATATGGGAAATCGATGAATGTGAATAGAAGTTAATGTATATGGAATGCGAGAGATTGCTTTTGACAGAGGAAAAGCATAGTGAAAACACGCATATATACGTTTCGAGCGATGAGGTGAAAGTCTCCCCATAGAAGTCTTCCTTTTTCGTGGTATTGTTTCTAAAAAACGAAAAAAAAGAAGTTATTTTTCTAAAATAAATACGATTAAAAAGAAAAACATTTACTAATACAAAACATTTGGCATTCGTTGTAGAAAAAAATGAAAATTATTTTCTATTTTTTCAACAAAAAAAAAAAGAACTGAAACCAATCATAAATAATGATTTTTTTTCAATTTTTGCAAAAAATGAAAACACTTCTAGAGTATGATTTTGTTTTTGTTTGAAAAATTAAAAGAATTTCTCTAATGGCTTTATATTTTCTATACAACTTTGATTGCATAGATATTCTAATCAAATAATACCAATATATAAAGTAAACAATAAATTCGACGAAATATTTATATAAAAAAAAATCTCACTTTATATTAATTGAGTCCAAACTAGTTACTCTTTAATATCCAAGCCTAAACTATTTACTTTTCCTACCTATGCGGCCAAAACTATTTACCCGGCCCACTCATTAGCTATTTGCCTTCGCATTTGAAGTACATAATGTTAAACATCCACCTTCATTTTTGCAAGGTTACTTAGTAGCTATTACAACATGATAACTAAACAATTTGGTCTTTCTTTATTTTAGTGGCAAATACGATTACTTAATATATTAAATTTACCAGATCTGATTTTTGTGTGTGTATGAAGACTCACCATTGTTGAGCTTGAAACTTCTGAATTTGAAATTTTATTTTAAAGATTTATTGTTTGATTCAATGCGGGTGCTATAAAATATTGTTTATAGTGCATTCGAATAAGCTTCCGGGATCTGAATTTTTATATGTATTTGAATATCCACCATTGTTGGGCTTGAAGCTCTTGAATTTAAAACTTTTACTTTGAAGATTTCTTGTGTAACGACCCGACCTGTCGTTTTGAGCATTTACGCTTCGCTCGGTTGTTTGAGGGCATGAGTAGCTACGTATGATGCATTATGACTTATGTGAATTATCGGTTTCGATTTTCAGGTTATTCGGAATCGAATTGGAAGAGTGGATTTCATTGTTGAAGCTTTAAATTGGGAGAGTTGATCAAGTTTGACTTTTTGTGAATTTGAACCCCGGAACAGAGTTTTGATAGTTCTGTTAGCTCCGTTGGGTAATTTTGGACTTAGAAGCGCATCCGAATTTTGATTCGGAGGTCCGTGGTTGTTTTTGGCTTGAAATGGCGAAAGTTGGATTTTTTGGGAAGTTTGACCGGGGGGGTTGACTTTTGATATCGGGGTCGGAATCCGATTCTGGAAATTGAAATAGCTTCGTTATGTTATTTTGGACTTGTGCGCAAAATTTAAAGTCATTCCGGATTGATTTGCTATGTTTCGGCACGAGTTATTGAATTTGGAAGTTCAAAGTTCATAGATTTTGATTGGAGGTGCGATTCATCGTTTCGATGTTGTTATGCGTGATTTGAGGCGTCGAGTAGGTCCGTGTTATGTTATTGGACTTGTTAGTATATTCGGATGGGGTCCCGAGTGGCTCGTATGAGTTTCGGACGAGGTTCGGATCAATTTCGTTTCATATTGCATTGTTGAAGGTTGCTGGATGCGAGATAGTGAGATTGAGTACTCTGAGAGTGTGAGTACACGATTCATCTCTGAGATACATGGCATTGGCATGCACACATGGCATACATGCATAGAGATGCATTTTCTTCTCATGATGTATGGTATCACGTCATTCATGATTTTTTACACACATAGATATGTGGGCATAGAGAGTGATTTCACACTTGTTATCTGGAAAGAAAATGAAATATCTTATTTATTGTGGAAAAGATATTTGGAAAAATTACAGTTTTCAAACTTACTCATATTTTTGGCATTTTCGGTAAAAGATTTGGATTTTCACTAAGATACTTAAAAAGCATGACTATTTTTTGGAACTGTAAACGAGCTGAGCATTTTACTTCTGAGATACATCTTTTATTACCTGTATTATGTTGTTATTAACTGTTGTGGAATATTGGTATTGTACCCGACCTTGTGTTAGCTCGTTACTACTTTCAATCTAAGGTTAGGTTTGTTACTTATTGAGTACATGGGGTCGGTTGTACTCATACTATACTTCTGCACTTTGCATGCAGATGTTGGTTGCTGATGTTGCTGTGTTCGATGGGAGTTGGATTGAAGATATACCTACGTCCCGATTGTAGCTGCCCCGTATTCGTGGTAGCTTTAGATCTATAAAACTCTGTTTATATACTTTTCAAACAGACGATGTATTTATTTCATTTCAGCTTTGTAAATTTTATTCTTAGAAGCTCATGATTTGTACTACCAGTCCTTGGAGAATATATAAGATTCAAATAATTTTCTTAATTGCTTTATTAATTATTATTGAAATTGGTTAGTGGTTAACTGGCTTACCTAGCGGGTTGGGTTAGGTACCATCACGACTAGTTGGATTTTGGATCGTGACAAGGTAGTATCAAAGCTCTAGGTTTATAGGTTCTACAAGTCATGAGCAAGTGTCTAGTAGAGTCTTGCGGATCGGTATGATGACGTCCATACCTATCTTCGAGAGGCTACAATACATTTAGGATATACTTCCCATCTTTCTTTCCTTATCGTGCGGCATTGATTTAGCTTGAAGTGTAACTCTTTGAATTCCTTCCACGCATTCGTATGCATATATGAGCGCTCGGTATCAGCTGTGCATTGCCGGCTTGTGATTCTATGAACGAGGTTCGAGATGTGTATTCTGTGTTTTGGTGATGGGCTAGTCTGGAGGACTTAAGGCCAGGTTTTGATGGTAGCTTAAGCACGGAGATTTTGATTGTGTGAGCACGTGCTTTTGGGACTTATAGGTCCGTTGGTGTCCCTATTAGTGGAATTTGTGATTGGATGACTATGTTGTGAGTATGATGAGACTGCGAGATGTGTTCAGATTATTCAAATGTGACGAGAAGAGTTTGCTTGAGATGTAGCAAGGACTATAGGGTATTTGATTTCTGTCTTGATTTGGCGTATGGTCTTGAATTATGGGTGTGCTGAGGGATCTCTAATGTTGTTTAGTTGCGGAGTGAAGTAGATTCTCATATGTTGTTGATGAGTTCAGAATCAAGAAGATTAAGTGATTGCGTAGTAGTCGTGACTGTGGAAAGGTATAGAGAGATGTCAGTTTGAGGGAGAGCAGGTGGGTTATCTCCTGCGAGGTGTCCTGAGGTTGTGTGGTCCTTATGATGTTTTGTAAAGAGTTCTCTTTTACCAATGAATGATATGTGTTGCGATTTGAGTTTGGATTGCTTGTGGAAGTTGTCTTGACTATTACAAGGGTGAATGCGAGATTAGCAGACAATTTGAAGTATTAGATGGTTTCCGTTCAAGAGCTCGGGAAGGATTTAGTTGAATCTCACTGTGGTATTATGGTAGTAATGAGGGTATGGTTATTGTGAGTAGTCAAATATTTTATTCCATGGATTTGAGCCAAGTGGGGGAGTCTGATATCGACAAGTTGATTGCACGATTGTGTGTTGTATTGGTTTCGGTTCGAGGTATACTGGTGAATCAGCTATGACTGCAGGGGTTGGGATTGAGGATGACTCGGGTAAAGAAATTTCTGGATACAGGTTGTATTACACTCTATGGGTATATGAGAAATCATAAAATAATTGAGTGGTTATTCGCGAAGGATGTAGTGTACATGGAGTAGGAATTTGCTCGGTTGCTTAGGAGTGTGGGTTACTCTTTACTCCCTTGGGTATTGGTGTACTAATGGGTCATAGGTCGTTCGGTCCGTTTGGTCGGTTTAATTGAGATTTGAGTAGAGTAAATGACTCTCGAGAATTATTCTAATGGATTCAAGATATATATGTAGCGATTTGAAATTTTCAAGATTTGTATATGGCTAGAAATTGGGAGTTGCATTAGATGGAGTTGATACTTGTGGCATTTTATATCATTGTGGGTTGTGCATTTCAGTATCAAGAAGGTGAAGGAAACAGTTTTAGGTTCACATAAGGTCTCTTTAGAATGAACGTCTCGGTTGTGGTGCCTTGGGGTGCTTAAGAGGGAAGTCAACGGCTTATGGGCCTTAGGGCGTTGTGGTTTTATACTAGGGTCTCTTGTGTGGTGAATTTTGGTTAGGGATTGGGGTGTTCTAGCAAGGAGAAGTATCAATTTAAATGCAGTTTGGAAAGGACTTGGTGGAATAGGACATCTTGATAGTAGGTTGGGTTAGCACAGTAATGGGTATGATCAGTTCTTTGGGTACTTATGACGTGACTAGTCTCTACAGGTATTTCGTGGCAATGCTCTTGGGTTTTGGCAACCTGCATGGCTGGGTTGAGTTAGAGAGATTCGGTTCAGATAGCTTGGTTATGTACAAATGGGTTTCGAAGAGTTCTCAATGGTTTTTACCAAAGTTCGAGGGGTATATTTCCTGCTGGCGTGAGGAGCATGTGGTGTATAGTGAATTTCTCCTGGATNTATAATTTGAGGTGCGATTCATCGTTTCGATGTTGTTATGCGTGATTTGAGTCTTCGAGTAGGTCCGTGTTATGTTATTGAACTTGCTAGAATATTCAGACGGGGTCCCGAGTGGATCAGATGAGTTTCAGACGAGAATCGAATAAATTTTGTTGCATATTGCATTGTTAAAGGTTGCTGGTTCTGGTGTTTTAGCACCTGCGAAAATGGGCTCGCATGTGCGATAGTCGCAGGTGCGACAAATGCATCGCAAATGCGAGATGAGATCTGGATGAGGAGGCCCGCAGAAGCGGCCAATGCGCGCAGAAGCACGACTGCAGGTGCGATGCTAGGCATCGCAAAAGCGATCATTGCTGGCCAAGCTGTTCTCGCAAAAGCGAGATTTTCCCCGCAGAAGCGAAGGTCGCAGATGGGACCTCTTTTTCGTAGGTGCGGATTGACTAGGCAGAACCCTTTAAGTTCGAGGGTTCGCGGTTTGTCACCCATTTTTAGATTTTGGAGCACAGTTTAGGCGACTTTTGGAGCAATTTTCATCGCAAGGATTGGGGTAAGTGTTCTACA